ACAGTGCATATAATGCCTTTTACGTAATTCCTGTTGATTCAAATGTGATAGTAGGTTCTTTAAAATTCAGCTAATAATACGATCTCTCATCTGCTAATCACCGTTTCATAAATTTACCAAAACTAATTGCGCTTTGGTGAAATAAATCTGAATAATTTTGAAGCAGATCGTGCTGCTTCAGCGAGTTTACGGTGCAAGAGACGACAATCCGATTTTGAGAAACGGAATTTTCACAATGCAAAGATGGAAAAACGAAAGCTGTTTCAAGATGCATTTGTGTGCCAAGTTTTATTTAAGTATTTGGTTTATTGCTGTTTGAATAAGGTTTAAAAAAGCAAAATCAAAAACACGAAATAAAACTGAAACTAAAAAAAATAATTAATCAAATCATAGATGTTATTGGAGTGTTTGGAGTCTTCCCTCTATGTTCCCCTCGCGAGCATTTAACCCTGAAGATGTTGAATAACTGTTTAAAAGATAATTTTTATGCTGTGCCTGAAACTAGCCTGAACGAGCGTCAGAGTTGAACCAACCCAGAACGCAGAAATAGGCCCAAAAACTCTTAAGTCGCTTAACAAAGTGATTTTTTTCCCAACAAGTCTTTCGTCGTGCAAAATTGTAGTTGATCATTTTGATTCGATGAGATCAAAATCGATCACCACAAACTAGATGAATAAACTTGATTTTTCAGGTCACGAATGCAACCAAATTTAAATTTAGTCAAAATATAGGTGTGGTTTGACCGATAAGTTAATTACTCAGTGGCATTGTTTCTCAACCGAAAATATCAACGTTAATATTGTTGATAGACTGGCTAGGGAAAACCGACATTCCCAAGCCTTCCCACAAGAATTTGGTGGATTTTTTGCAATAAATCGAAATGCGTAGTTTATTTTGACTTGACACCAACGTTTGTTCTTTTTACTGTATTTAATTATGCAAACATTCGAAATATCAGTGCTGCACTTGATCCAAATCTCAGTTCGAAACTTTTCAGCTCAACTGGATTTTTCAACTAGTCTTCGCAGAGAAAAGGTGAAATCTATTAGACGACAGGTTTACGATAAAGTCCAGTCAGCATTGAACTTGAAATGTCAAGGCTGTTCAGTACATCGCGTTGAATGAAACCAAATGCTTTTAATTTCGTTGCTTAATGATGTGGTTTCATCTTCGTTAAACAGTTTTTTCTCTTTCAACCTTCGACAGAAAATACTTTTAGTTTCTACATCAGATAATGAGTTAAGAGAAGCAGAGGAGCTGTTCATTGGTTTTGCTTACCAAAGGTTTAATCTAGGCCAAAGGCGTCACTGAAAACGTACCGGGCAAACCCGGCGATTTGTTAAAGTAAAACCCGTTCAAAATCAAAACGGGTTAGAGAGACAATAAGAAAAAATTGTCATAAGGTGTTTTTGCTCTCATTTCCCTGCTGGTTCGGCACGTTTGAAAGTCCACAGCAACCATCGTTAACAATTGCACAATGCTGCTTGAAAAATTTATATGCAAATCGAAACCGAAATGGTCGATATTCGAGCATTTGCGTCATAGGAATATTGCCAAAATGATTGTGTTAAATAGGTAATAAAAATACTGTTAAATTATTTCTAATAATGCAAAATAAATTGGGCACGAGCATTTTCGATTCGATAAGATAGTCGAAGTAAACAGCTTGTTAATATTAAAAAAAAAAACTAGTTTAGCTGATTTTGCTTTCTTATATTCTGCTCTTACTTACTGTATTACCATTTTTACTCACTGCAATTTTTTAAGGGTTGCAAATTAAAATTGGCGTTAATTGAGAGTTTTTCGGATTCAGCGGAATAACAGTTTAAAACTTCGATGATTTGAATCAATCTCGATAACTCCCAATAACCATTTTTAAGATTGGTTTAATCAGACTTTTTTAGAAATGAAATTGAGAATTTATATGAATTTTTAAGCATTTCCCTTAGCGTTTGACTGGCCATTCACCACAGTTTGCCAGTTGTTAGGCAAAAAACTTTCAAAGTCCTGCTTTAAAAGATTAGAAATTTCCGAATTCCTATTCTGTAGGTTTCCTAATAATGTAATTCTTCATTATTTTGTTGCGTTACCGTCATAACTTTAAGCGGCTCTGTATTTCAAATAACTAAGCTAGAATTTGAACTATGTTGTAAACAAAATTACTCAATAGTTCCGTATTTTTTCACAATTAATATTCAGACTAATATCCAAATGAAAGGCTGAATATTTACATTTTTTAAGGACATGCATAACTAGGATTTTCCTTGAAGTGTGCATATTTTTAAATTCCGGATTGAACGGGGACCTATAGGTAAACACAAGCAAATCCCAGCTCTGGATTTGCAAAGTTTTGCCAAAAAGTACGAAAATTTGTATCTCTAAATGGTAACATCGGACAAAAGACCGAAGAGAAGATCTCTCGATAAGCCACTGGAATAAAGAGAACTTGTACCCTTTTCAAGAAACCGAGAAAAAGAAAGCGGATAAGGAAAAGCCCGGATGGTATAACTAAAAATGATATCGACTTCATGCTACAAAACAACCAGAAAGTCGGCATAAATTTGCCAGGATTAAACCAGCTTGACTCAAACAATAGAAACTCAAGTTTCCCTTGGCTTCAAACTTAACACTGAAATAAACAAACTCGATCACAAGAGCAAGTTGCCAACTGCTCAGGAACTGAAGCAAGAAGCGACAGGGTTTCGAAAAAATTGAAAAAAAAAACTGGGATCAAGCGACAATTTGGACAAAATGCGCATCAAGTTCATAAAGAAGTAATAATCAACATTTTCAACAGTTTCAAGTTATTGAATTCTCATATGGAGTGAAAAAAAAAACACACTATCCACCCAAAATAACCACTGTAACCCAGTTTGAAGTGTTCATCATCTTTGATGCAAAGACACGAACAATTTTTATTTAAATAACTTGCGCTTAACCGTTCACTCAATAATAACTTATAGTCGAATTGAAGTGTTGAAACTTTGGGAGCATTTTGAAAGAATTCCAAATAAATTGGCAACATGCCGAATACTTTATTATTGCAAATTCTCATTTTGTAAGTGCCGAGTTTCCGAAGGAATGGGTGAAACAGTTTAATTAAAATATTCGGTATTTCAAATATATGACAGCATTTACTGGCAGGATTACGTTTCAATCCTGTTTGCAAAGCTTTTTTCTGTTTCGTTGCTTAATTAGTTTTATTGAACTTATTAATTCTACATAAGTTCCAGATTTTTTGCTTTAGAAGTTTGACGTCAGTTACTTAGAGAGCTACTGACCTTGCATAATTCCAAATCTAGTCTTTTTTATGAGTAAATCGAAACGACTCTCCTTTGCTAGGAAATTGAATATCGTTACAAACACTTCCTCGGTATTTTCAAATATTTCATGCTATTTCGATAACAGTTATAAAAACTTCACTGTGGAATTTATAAGTGATTAGTCATACGAATTAACAGAAAAAAATTATATAGAGCATATTGTCGATCGACGGAAAATCGCACGCAAAATTGCACTGCGACAGATTTATGTTGGTTATTATTCGTGAATTCAATGATAAATTATTGCCCATTTTCAGGACCGAAATTTGAAGCTCAAATGGTGATTCAATGATAAATTTCGGATATTTTCATAAAACCCTGTTTAGAGTCCAAATGATATGTTTTTGGTTTAGCGTAATTTTTTTTTATCCTCACTTTTTGGAAATTTCTCTGGGGATAAAGTCATCAGCAAATATATTGATCATGACATGATAGTTAGTTATGAAGCAAATTTTCGCCCCAATACCCTGAAGGTGGACTTAATCCGAAACACTGAGTGTAGAAAAAATCTTTACTTTTTCTAACCCACTCATTGCTGAGCCTCCAGCTCAGCAATTCATTCTCAAAGTTTGCCTAGTAAAGAAGGCAAAATAGTGCGGATTGGTTTAAAAAAATCCTACCAACTAGCCTGATTCACTCGAAACTTTCCAACTTAATAGAGCGAACTGTGATCTTTCCAGGGCCGCAATCGGCAACTCTGTAGCACGAGAAGGAGTTTTACTAATTTGAAAAGTACATGGTAATTTTTTTGAAGCAAATTTTTGCCCCAATACCTTGAAGATGGCCTTAATCCGAAACACTGAGTGCAGAGAAGAATCTTCACTTTTTCTACCATAACCATTGCTAAGCCTCCAACTATCGGAGTTGGCAGCAATTCATTTCCAAGTGCAAAAGGGGAAAATCTTAATTTGAACTAGGTATAACTTATCGCTCTTGTGAAGCAAATGTTCGACCCAATAGTTTGAAGATGGCCTTAATCCGAAACGCCAAGTTTAAAGAGGAAATTACTTATAAGCCCCATCTAGCCTGATGATGTTTGGATTCAATCGAAACGCTGCGCCTTTATAGAATACTTTCTTTTTCAGGGCCGCAATCAGTTTATAAAAACTAGTCAAAAGCGAAAAAAAGGATATTTTAGCCAAAAAGTTTGAATGTTGTTCGATACAAAAGCCTCATTTTTGTCGAATTTAATCGAAGTATAAAAAGCAAGCTTTCATAAAAATTATCGGTAACTTTGAAACACTCGTGGCATTATTCCTTGATAAATTACTTTTTAATTAACGCACGTTTCCCAAGTTAAATCTGAATGTTGACCTCCCGAAGACCTGCAGCAACAAGCGAAAGATAAAAAATAGTATCCAGAAGCAAAATATTCCCCTTAGCTACCGCTAGAGCACAAAAATCACAGATTTTTGTTTGATTTGTGCTAAATTGCTCTACAGACTCTCTGAATAACGTCCTGTTCATCGATAGGAATTTAAAAGAGGAGCTGCTAACTGCTAAAAAAGCTTTCCAAATTATTCAACCTTTCCATTTATAGATTAACTTTGAGGGAAAAGTGTGTTTGATGTGGGCGGTAAACTGCTAATCAATTTTGACGACGTTTCGGTGCGGCGACCATCACACACTAGTCGGCGAATGTCGTTCCATTCCGCACTAAATCGCATGGAAAACTGTAAAACCATCAGGCAAGCTCCCTTTTAGTCTGCGCTTTTAGTCAGTCGACAAGCCGCAGCTTTATGTAGTTGTCGTGCCGCGCACGAATCTAGAACTTCGCGAAAATTCCCGACAAATTTCCTGCTGATTCAGATTCCAGCCTGTTGAGCGTTGGAATCGCCGTGTGTGTGATTTCATCCACTCTTTCCCAATCAATTCTCGCGTGCACCGAGATATGAAGAACAGGCAGAATGCGGAGATCGACCTTTTGCAAGGGCTACAGCCCTTTTCGTATGATGATTCCGGCAACAGCTGTGGCTCATCCGTAGTGTCCGATTTCACCGGAAACGAAGACGAGTGTGTTCTTCAGGTGTCCGACTTGGAGTCCGAGACTAATGAAGAAAGATCGGACGTCCTGCAGGTCAGTAGTCAATTTTTTCGAATTTTTGCCGAAAATGTCACCTTGTACAACTCTGGAAGGGCATTGGGGGGGGGTGGAGTCAGTTCAGAAAATTGGTCCGCAATGGCCTGCTTTGCGGACAACAGTTTTATCCAGATGTTATTCAAATTTGGATCAATTTCGTGTCCTTGACTCTTAATCAACCATGCAAATTCGTTCTGCTTGAATAGTATTAAGCACGTTGAAATTTCTATGGAAACCGGATTAAATTGTTGATGCTAGTGGGAAGATGTGCTTCATTAATATGCTACCAAATAAGATAGGTCAGGATATTTAACCATTTAACAGGCAGCTTATTTCGGCCTGAAACCGTGATTGTAACGGATTTCAATTAATGGAAATCATTCACGCTCCCACCCGGGCCAGGCACATTTCCGGCATTCATTAACTCACATTTGCTATGCTCAATTATCCTCCCTTAATTATATCAAAGCGATGGAGGATGAGAGTTTTACAACTCCTTCTCGTGGACAAGGTTCACTGGTCTACCATCTGGTCCTCTCCAGGTGTACATAATATAATAGAATTGTCAGAGGCTCATACAAAATACATCAGATGTAAAGCAGAAACAACGAGCAAAAGAAGGTTTTTCTTTGTTGGGGGGCTCGATACTCAGAGCCAACAAAGGTGGCATTGAAAGATACCAGTCTTCCTTCAAAGCACCTGGAGTAAAGGTACTCAGGAAACTCCCTTTCACCAAACATTCTACTGATCGTGTGCTCAGTGCATTTAAGACAAAGAGGGACCCGATTTATTGATGGGCTTTGAATGGCAAATGAAGAAGAATCATCTGAGGCCCTCAAACCGCCGCTAAGTCTGTTCCAACTATAATGTGGGTCAGAATGTTTTAATTAAACGTTTTTTCATTGGTTTTTTATACCATTTGCACAATTTCATCGAATGTATTTTAGTAGCGTTCATAAACTTGGATCTTAAGCTTTTTAGCTAATCACTAATTATATATTTTTGAATTTTGACCTCAAAATGCCAGAGTAAGTAAAACTTACAAACTGTTTTTAGAAAGTCTTTTAAAAGAATCAGAATTTAGTTCGATTTGCATGAAATTCTCAGCATACTGAGCTTCAAGAGTCTTTTATGGACTGTAAAAATTTCTAGTTGCGGTTTGTTCTGGATTAGAAATTGGGAGGGTTGAAAGTAGAAGCTGCAATCGGGGGAAAAGACCCATTTTTACAGCAACATCTACAAATCTCGCAAAAATCTGATTATAGAGCGATTGATATAAAATTATCTGAGTGCTCAGCTTGAAGTGTCGTCCATGGAATGTAAAAGTTTGGTGTTGCGGTTGGCTCCTTGTTAGAAATTGTGATTTTTTGAAGTTAAGCTGACAATTGGGTACTTAAAAGCTTTGCTTTCAGATCAACATCTATGATCTAAAGCGCGCTAAATTAGTTGCTGGTATACAGGGTATTAACGTTAAAATCAACATTTTTGTTTTTAATTACGGTCTTTTCATCTCTCACAGTGAAATTTCAAAGGAAATAGGGTCGATTTTTTAGAAAAATATAAAATCTCACAATTCTCCAAACACCTAATAGAAACGCAAGTGAAGGCAGTTTTCGCACAAAAATCCAAATTAGAATATCACACATTTAGGTGCAAGATTGGGTGAAAATCCCATCTTTTTCCCGGTTTTTTAACTTATTTTTCAAGAACAGTTTCAGCTGGAATGCTCATTTCCACACCACCAGAGAGAGCAGTAGTAAATGGCGCCTTTACTATGTGAAGCGTCGCTTAGGAAATGTTAGTAATTCTTGCACAAGATCGCAAATTATCACGAAAACTTCTGGTTTTGCATGTTGTTTCTTAAAGTGCGGATACGACCGTTTTTCGCATATCTCAACAACCATTTGAGCTAAAAAAAAGCCGTTTTTCTACCGTTGGATAAAGAACTGGAAATGCAATTTACTTACAGCAACGAGAGTGAGAAAGTACTGGAAGTTTTCACACAAAGAGCGAAATTTGAATAGCAGACATTTAGGTGCAAGATTAGGCCAAAACTTCATGTTTTTTACCACTTTTTTGCTTATTTCTCAGGAAAAGATTAAGCTGGAGCGCTGATTTCTACACTACTGGATAGAGGACTAAACGACGTTCTTACGACGTGCCGGTTAGCTTTGCAAATTGTTGCAGTTTTCACAAAAAAAACAGAAATTTCGAAAAATCTCCTAGCTGTGCGCGATTGTCTTTTAAAAGTTGACTGCGCCTTTTTTCCTTATATCTCACGAACCATTAGGGCTACGAAATCAGTTGAAATTGAAATCCGGAACATGAATGAAAAAATGGAGTCGGTTCTTACACAAAAAACGAAATTTGCACATAACGCATTTAGATGCCAAATACCTATTTTTTTGCTGCGAGTTTCAGGAAAAAAACTTTAATTTCACAAACAGTAACTTAATGAAAACAAGAAAACTTTGAGTCATAGCATCAGCTGATGCAACATTGAAAGACTGTAGAATTGAACAAAACAAAAATTAATTTAAACGCAAAAAATGATAATGATCACAAAACGAAATGAGTAATTCGAGTGAATACCAACGCATTTCCCAGCTCCATCCAAGCGATTTTCGACACCAAACTGTTGTTGAAACGATAAAATGATGAATCATTATGTCGGCGCCTAATTGTAATGCACCTACGCATCCATATTTTCATCCACGCATTGATGTTACATTAGCTACTCGTGTTCAATTTCAGAAATTACTTACCCACTCTGTTCGGATGTGCGACCTGCAACAAAAAAATATTTTGTGACGAGTGTAGGTACTTTTTGTCCCATTGACCTTATTAGCGGCGTGAAGCGCAAATTAATGAAAGTGATTGTTTAAATATTTCAAAGGAAAACATCGATTTTCAGCCACGGTTGGCTTGGATGATTGACCGGTGAATTATTGAGGAAGCCCCCAATGCGTCGAATAAATCATAAAGCGTCCCGGTATATAATTGCTACAGGATTTCTTCTAGGTAGTAATTTGCCAGCAGGTTCTAATAAATAGTGGAAAAGCGGCAATAATTAACTATGCGGACTGGAATAGTTTTTTCATTGATTTTCTTGTTGGTCGAGTTATCAAAGCACCATGCAAGAACTAGGTACTCGGATTCAAAGAATTTCATCGCAATTTCCCTTGAAATACGACTGAATAAACTAATAACACTGCTGGTCATTAAAGCCGAATGGTTTTTCTCAACCTTGTCCACTGAAAAAAGCTGCACATAAAACGGCAAACTCTGAATGCGGATTTTATAATACCGGATCGACCAGAGTCAACAATTGAGAATCCGGTTTCATCATACAAGAACAGTGTTCAAGTATACGACACTTATCACGCCCATTTTATCCGGTCACAGTCTAATAAATAATCTGGTTTCTAAATGCCTTTTTCACTTTGTTGATGTGTTTTAAGCGTAGTTTTATTGAACAACTTTGTGCCACCGACTGTAAAGATTCTACCGCAAAACGATTAGCCATGTAAATGGTCTGCTCGTTTAAGATTTCGTTGTTTTTTTCCTCTCAAACTTTGCCAAACTTACCGTAGAATGAAATTGCGTTTATTTCCATTGCATTTTTGGTTTTTTTCGAGAACATTACACAAATAGGGTCACACCAGTAACAGTTTGCAAGCTGTGCTTGTAGAATTTTGTATAATTTCCACAATTTTTTGCTGAATATTTTCTACACATTGTGTGGGCATTTAATGTCGTCACTTGCTTTGGTTTGTAAGTTTCGAATTTTCAAACTGGCGGGCAAGTTTGAATTTTTTAATATTCAGCTTGCACGCTGCTAAACATCAAAGAGCCTTTGATTTTTTACCTTTTTTCCTATTTGTTCTTAACATTTTTTATAAATCTGGGGAAAATTTGCAGTTGTCACTTGCTCTGGATTTTTAGTTACGATTTTTTCTTAATAGGAGTTCTTAATAGGAGTTTGAATTTTGGGGTTTTTAGGCTCAAGTTTGCAATCGTTAAAAAGTCAGTGGGTGTTTGGACGTATGGACAATTTCTACAATTTTTTGCTCAGCATTTTGTGGAAGTTGTGGAATTCAAATCGCTTCTGTTCGAAATTCGGTTGTGAAATGGGCGCTGCTAACAAATCAGTGAGCCTTGGAATTTTTCCACCCTTTCCCCTATTTTTTGCTCAATATTTGCAATTATGCCAAATATCACCATTATTTTAAAGTCCTTGGCAAACAGATAGACAGTTAAACAATTGATGGCAAAGTATATGTTCATCTATTACAAAAGCCTCATTAAGGCTTCTTTATACGTAAAACACTGCCTTTCTACAGATAGTACACGTGCCGATGTATTTTTTGAAAATTTATATTTTCTCCACCGCTTATTCAGTGTTCACAAATGGGAAAGATAACACTTTATTGTCACTCGCCTATCAGCAAGAAAATAAAACAAACATTTTATACTTGATTGTCAGCTGTATGGAAATAAATTAGTAATTTGAATATTTTTTTCTGTTTTGGTTTGACTGATTTTCATGTAGCATTGCATTTATGTGCTTGGTTACAAGATCAAATACAACAGGCTATTATTTTTCAATTAAGTGTTAAGTTAATGGTGGCATTTTCTTCTGGGTTTATCTTCATATTATTCAGGGCAACTGAAACTCGTTATGATCAATTAGAATTCAGTTACAGTATAAATAATTTTTCATTAAATGCGTGGCTTAATAACTTGTTTTTTCAAGGGTTTTACTTGCAATTAATTACTATTTCAATTAAACAACGTGGTTTTCTGTAGTCTTTTGAGTAAAAGTCATACAATTAGGTGAGAAACTTTAGAGTTTTGAGAGTACAAAACAGTATTTTGGCAAATTCCGTTCAAGTTGTCTGTTTTCTTAAGGAATATTGGTAGATATACGTTTTTGTATGATTTAATTATTATTAAATATACTTTATTAATTCTGATTTATTTCGACAGCAAAATGTTCTTAGTCGAAAAAGGGTTTTATAAAAACAATCCTTAATGTGTATCGACTCTTTCGATATTTTTAGCCCCTTTGGACAAAGCTGAAACGGAGTAAAAAGTGTGCAACGAAATCGAAAAGTTCAATCGCCAGCTTTAGTTTATTGCTTTAAACGACAAAATTTCTGTTTTTGAACTGGTTTTAGAAGAACCCTATTAAAAATGAGGTAAATAACTCAAACACTGCTATCTGGAATGGATTTTGCCAAAGTGATCTTGCTCATCTGAAAAAGAACGGAAATCAACTAAAAACAGCATTAAATGTTGTTGATTCTACTCAGCAATTCTGTGGTCTTTAAAACTTGGTATTTTTCTTATTAATTTTAAAAGCACTTTAAACCCTAAAACGCTGGTGCAAAAAACCAAAACATCCTACATCCATATTAAAACGGCCTTTCGGACATAATCAATATGGTCTAGGCCAGATTTCCTTAAGAAAATTGATTTTTCTGCTTTCCACTTTGTTTAAAAAATTGTTTGAATGTAACAAAGTCAATTCCCTTTTAATCGTAAAATAGCGTGATTTGCTTGAATCTGGCTCAGCAGCACCGAGGCTAAAAATACTTCCTCGCAAAAGCTTTTTTGCCCGCATATTTTGGCATGGGGCAAGAATTTAGAATATTCATTGTCTGAGTTTGGAGGGTCGAATTTACTAATTAACGCCATGTTCTACTTTTAAAAGAGTTGAGTTGAGTAAGAAAATCGACAACAAAAGAATTTTGTCAGTAATTTAACTGAAGAACAATGTAAAAGTTCGGTAAAATCACGAGCAAAATATAATCAAATATGGGAAGAAAATCAAGCGCAAAACGCCAGACAGCAATGATTTTTATGTTAAACATCTGTTTGGAATTTACGTTGTGAAAAATATTCACAGTGGATTTTTCGCTTTTTACCTTTGGAACAAAATACGCAGTAATTGATGAGCCAAAATACGTATATTTTATTAGTTAAGCATTCGAAACTTTAACTTATCCGATGGATTAGAGTACAATAAAATTATAAAACTGAAGTCAATAAACCAGTAATGATTAAATCCTCATATTACGCAGCTCAAATATTTATATCGGGTCTTTAAACCAACATAGTTATCATTTTTGAATGCGATAATGTCCAACGTGTAATGTATTCCACATATTTGGCATAATTAGTGGACAGTATGTTGAAATATTGAACAGATGCATACATTGCGATAAATAAACTGTGGTTTTTTTCGTCAGCAAAAGCATTTTTCGTACATTTTCATTAAATTTGCGTTAATTTGTCGCGATAAGAGCGATAAAAGCATGAATGAATTTAATCAATTGCACGCGAGTTCACTATTTTGTGAGATTGTGTAACTTTATTGACTGAATCTACTTTGCTACTGATAAATCGTGAGGCATAAATGTATGCGAGTTACGCAAACTGTCGTATACTGTGGGAAATCAGCCAACGTTTGCGAACGTTTCTTTTGCGTTTTGTTCAATATTATATCAAACAGTGTAAGAGAGTATGTGGGTAAATGTTTCAGCAGACAGTGTCTTAAAACCGCAATAATGCCATCCATCATTTACCAACAGTAACGACAAAGTAATCAGAGTGTAACACAATCGAGCAGATATATCACTACTCGCATACCGCAATAATTTCTATTTAAAAACGCACCGAGTAGAAACCTACTAACATTTTTCGTTCAAATTGCCTTGAACCGATTTTTTGCCTGAGAGGCAGCGGCCTCAGAAAACAGTCTCGTTTGGCAATGCACAAAAATGCGCTTTTACTTCATAATGTGCATGGTACCGACACCACGCCGCTTGCTTTGCTTTGTTTCGGAAATAATTATGTTTACGTAACCCTCAAGGTTCTCACTGCTTTTTGGAATTTGTTTTGTGCTAATTTCGAATCGACCGTGCTTGTCTTTGATTTTTAATAAGCCTCTTTGTGTCGAAGCCATTATTTGCCAATTCTACGTGATTATTATTCAAAACGCATTTGGACAGAATTTTTAATGGTTTCACTCGCTCATCTGCAGTTCTTTCACGCTGCCTTAAAGTTTAAACTGGCTCCAAAACGACAAAATTAAAACAAAATTTCATTTTCACAGCGATAAAATCACGCTTTCACTTTTGCGGCCTAACAAAACCCTTTGACTGAGTGTTTCGCTGAGATTCACTTCTGATCCGGGGACACGAATTGATTTCAAATGAAATGCATTCAAATAGTTGAATTCCTCAATATTTAACTACTTTTTTGCCTGTTTTATTTTTCAGCGTCGATTTTTTGCACTCCTTGAACATAATTTAATAGTTTTCCTTAGTTGATTTCAAAATTGTTCCAATGAATCTTCATATTTCTTGCCTTAACTGTTTCTAAATGTCGAAATAAACGATATCAACATTTTTATTTCACATTTTGACTGAAGCCCAGGAAAGAAAAAAGTATAATAACAAGTACACGCAGTCAGGAAAATAAATCAAAATAAAGTTACTTTTATTGTCATTTTTCTTCACTAGAATTTTTTCCTCATTTGTTTCTGCCATCGTAGGTTGACGTATGAAGAGTTGTCTTATTCAGCTAATTTTATCCTTTTTTTTTCAAAAATCTTCATAATTAGTTGGCGTTTTTTCGGAAAATTTATTATCTTAACCAGCGGCTTGTTTTTTTCGATTATTTTCCTCAGTTTTTCTTTTCTATTTCTACTTTTACTGTAGTGTCATATAAGTTTGCTACTTAAGCATTTTAAAACGTTTTCGCATTGACCTGTCTGTCGT